ACTTGTCTATTAATTGTTGTATGGTTCGAGCTGACCGATAAGGAAATGACGAAAAGAATTTGCTTTGAATCTTCTCCCATGCATTTTTTTTCACAGTACGGTCACCAATTCTGACACATTTCTGGCCGCCGGTTTTCTGACGTCACGGACAAATAACCTGATTGGTAGAACAACTCTCCCCCAAAAAAGGGAGTAACAGCGAATAAAGTACAGTAGATCCCCCTATAAAACCGTTTCCTATAGTTATGATTCCTATAAAAATTGTGGCAGTATCCGTAAACAACGGTAAAAATAACTCCTATAATACATAAAACGTCATTGGGCAGCCGAACTACTTTCCCGCCGTCCGTAGCGCCACGCTACGGACGTTTAGGCGGATAAATTGAGTNGTGTTCTTCCACTTCAGTTAATTAAAGTCGACGGTGACAACTTAGCACCGTCTTCGGTCGTTTGAAATCTCTCAACTGACGATGAAATTCTGACCGGAAAATAATGGATTTTCGCCTGCAACGTGCGAGTCAACACTGGACACCCGAATGAAAACAAAAGGGAACTATCGCAGTTAGCATATGTCTAAGCTACAATTATAATTATGTTGAACAATTAAACGTGTATATAAACTTTTACTTAATAAAACTTTTTAATAAAACTTTATATCGATTGATTACGTGTATCAGTTTAAATACAGTATTATATCTGCACGATTTATAACGAAAGAAAAATATAAAAATAAAAGAAGTAAAAGTCATTTTAAAAACTTACGAATTTGTATCGATACATAAGCACGAAATAAAATGCTATAAAACAGAGATTATTAAACTGAAGTGTGTCTCTTTGTTAAGAATAATTCTCTAACTTAATATCAACTTGATAACAGAAAAGTTCTCAATAAATGAAATTATAAAGACACCTGTCTTTGTAATTTTATTTATTGAGGATTTTTCTGTGTACTGCGCGATCATCTGCCAGTGTGTAATGTACTGTACCGTACAATGTAGAATACAGCCGAATACAGAATAAGATTAAAATTGCAGCAGATTTCCTTACATATGTTTAGAACAAATGAGAGTTGGAATAAGATTTAACAAATTCAAATGCGCGTTATTCTATAAAAACTAAACTTAGGTAAATTCAAGTTATCACTTGTTTACGCTAAACTACTTGTTAGGACTAGGATCGGAATAAAATGAAAGCTTAACCGCCGTCTACCAATGATGGGCTTTAAAAAGGCCATCTTAGTCACTACAGGATGGAAACAATAAAATAAAGAAGGAAGCTTTCTTTGACGTAACTGTATTCAATTTTTATTAATGTTTATATTTGAGTGGTGTATTCCAAGAAAGATCCAACTCCATAAGTTTCTTTTTGGAAAATGAAACTTCTTACATTCTATTAATTAGACTAATTACTTAAACATTGTAAAAAATATAGCCTACATTTTTATACGAGTATTTATGATCGACGTATATATGTATAACACACTTATTTTTAAAAGCAAAAAAAAGTAATTGATAATGGAAATTTTGGACCTGTTTTAAAATCCGACACTAACGAATATGTTTAAAATAGATACATATAATGCACTGATCAAAACAATTAGCAGAGTGCGTGACTGCACTGATCGAGGAGTGACAAAGAACATCATCTATTCCAGTGTTTTCCAACCTTTTTTGTGCTATGCCCCACTTAAGCCTTTCTAAAATTCTTATGCCCGCTAACATATACAGCGGCTATACGGTTAACTTGAAATATGGACGAGTCCATTTTCGAATTGCCCCTCTTAAAAATCAAATTACCCCCCTGTGGGGCGTGGGCCCCACGTTGAGAAACACTGATTTATTCGATCCCATATCACACAGATGTGCAGCAGTTTTGGATCATACAACCGGCTAAAGTCAGCACAATACCCTGTATTTACTGGCAATTTAACCTAGCTGTAAAGTATGTCTTAAGGTAAGATTAGGAGAAATTTTTTAAACTAGATTAAAAATCTCCTATGATGTATAAATTCAGTAGCGTGCCGTGACATTTGATGATAGGGAAGCTGTGTTTCTGTAAGAAGCCGACATCCAGGGACAATAAGGATCGTAAGGGGTCCATTCGTATCATTTATTCGATATGCCAGTAAAAACATTTGATCGTCATAAAACGGTGAAGTTTTATGACGTTATGAATGTAATTGTGATATTAAAAATGCATTTAGAGGAGTCTACGGTGATGTAGACTTCTCTAAATGCATTTTTAATATCGGCAATCATCATTTGAAAAATCCAACTTATGACACTTCTAACACCGATTGTGACTTATATCTACTAAACTGACATTATGATACCGGACATACCAAATGTATTTTGCATCAATCTGAGAGACATCCTGGCTCAAAACAAGTTACCTCTGAATTGAATAACATATTATGACATAACGATTATGGACATACCAATTGTGACGCACCGATTGTGGACACACTCGAGTAACGGATGATGACATCCCAATTTGTGACAAACTGTATGCAATGTAAAGATCACTGATTAACTATAAACGATTATCAATAAATTTATTTTTCATTGTTTTCATTATGAAAGTAATTGACTGTATAATTAACAAAATAATAAGATAAATAAAAATAGAATTTTTATAATATTTACATTGTATCTTTATTGTTTAGAAGCTATTTTATTTGACAATATTATTCAATTAATTTACCCAACATTTATAATGTAAAGAGGTGAATCGATTTATAAATTAAATCGTACAGACAATTAATTGTTGGGTAAAAATATATTTACATTCTCAATTAATACGCGACAAAGCATGAGGTGACACACGTCGCATAACTTTTCAATTTTTATACCTTTACAGATTAATGTCTTTATAGTCGTTGCGAGCCTCAGTTGAGTTCTGTATTTTGAAGTAGTAATTTTCAAAGTAATGTCCAAACAATCAATGCCAGGAACTGAAGTAATGACTGCTCTTACTTTTGGACACTCTAGAACGAATTGAACAAGGGCATCTTGTTAAGCACGATTATGCCTTTGCTGAATAGAAAGAATGTATTGTGTATTTTCTTTACTGGTTAGTTAATTAATTTTGAATTTTATATAAATTAATTCTAATTGAAGGTAAAATTCGGGTGAGTTAACCCGCGTTGTACGTGGTTTGTGTATTCAGCTGCTGTTCTCGGCGCCACCGGTCGTAGCTTGAGAACAAGTTAGTGAGGTATTAGATAAAAAGACCCCGGTATAACGACGTTCGAATACATTCACGAAACACCTCGTTATTTGTAACATCGTTTATCCGCGTCGTTTTTTACATCAGAAGTGTCGTTATTCATCTTTTCAAGGTGCCAGACGAAATTTATTGTCATTGAAGAGGATAAATATTCACGTCACACCTACCGGTTATTACCGTCTATCCATCGACGATAATGTAGTTTTTACACTTATTAAATATTTATTGGTTATCAAAAATAGTAATTTTTAATTTAACTAGAGCACCAATTCTGTATATAAATTTTGTGCAGTAAGAGAAAACACACAATTAAAATAGATATCAGATTAGCAGGTAGCACCTAGAATTTTTGTCTGTAAAAGTCAGAACATTGAAGCCAGAAACTGTTTGCCTTTCTCGCATTGGATGAGGACATTATCAAGTTTTTTGGAACTTGATATGGAAACAACGTTAAAAATTTTTTTAAAAA